CCCCCCCCCAGAATGCTGGTTGTACTTTTCTACCTATGTGTCTCCATTAAATACAAAACTCAAAATGTCTCACAGTTAAAACTGCAGCTCTCTCTCCCAAAACGAACCCCATTATGCAACTGGGTGAAAATCGTTCCCTGTTTCTAATCTTAGGAAGTCTAATTGCTTTCTTAGCTAGAGAATATATTTCAGCAAAGCTATGTGCTTAAATTCAAAGTTCATGGTCCTATCTTCGCCTTAAATGAACTGAGCTTTTGTATTGTTTCACATCAGCACAGTTTAAAGTTTAAAGACACTATTTTTAGTCAGACTTTGCAAACCCTTCCTTCTTTCAGACAGATTAAAACCTACAGTGATTCCAGTCCTGTTCAAGACTAAGCACAGATAAAAGTGAAAGTAAAAGCAGACATTTAGCACCGAGTAAGCTTACCTTATGCTCAAAAGTCAAAAAAAAAGTTTGAGGAAGTCGTCTGTTGAGAGCTTTGTTTCTCTGCTGCTGAACTAGGTCAGTGGGAAGAGTTTATATTGGCAGGATTTTAAGGAAGTATAATGGGAACTCTGAGTTCGGGGAGGAGTTTTAGTTTTTTCCATGCTAGGAAGTTCCATCTGGTTTCCCTCTAAAAGCAGATGAGGATGATGTCAGGTGTCAGATTACAGAGGCATGTCTGAGAGCTTCACAGAAAGGATTGCAACAATAAGTGCTCCTGATGTTTTCAGTGAAACGATGCTCCTGTTTGTTCCATTGCAAACATCCAACAAACTGAAATTCTTGGCCGTAAAGAACAAGAATCAGTCGAACCGTCAAAAGAAACGGCTCAGTGATGAAAGAAAAAGAAGTAAAGAATGGAGTCAATATTTTTTTTCAAAAACACACGTTCACAAGTATTTGTCCAGTAGTTTCCCTATATCTGCTGGAACAAAGCTACAGTTTTTGGGTTTTTCCAGTAACAAAAGAAAATCATAGCTTCAAACCCATTTTATCTTATTTGGTTGACAATTTAAAACTAATGAAGGATCTTCAGGGTTTTTTTCCCCTCAGAGACAAGGTTGTGCTTAAGTTATAAGAAAGTCCACAACAACTGATAACTGAAGCCTGCTGAGATGAAGATAAAACACGGACAGATAACTTCTGCGTCTCTACAAGTGGAATCCCTCTTAGCCCCAACAGATGACCCCCCACACTCCCCCTCCTGGATTTCACTGCCAGCATGAAAGAACTTCTGAAGATCCATGTAACAACCCTCATCATCGCCCAGCCCCCGGCACTAAACCAGCATCTCTCAAAAGTCATCAAGCCCCCCATTCCATCTGTCCCCTCCACATATTACTGTTGAACAGACAGGCCTGTTGGTGTGCAGGACGTTCCAGAAACACTGGTGCGATGTACAGGATCCAGATTACCAGCAATGTTTATTTTCAGGAAAGGCTTGGGCCCTCTATGGGAGAAACTTATAATATCTCTGAGAGAAACAACCAATGCCAACAAGACAAGGAACAATAAGCAACAGTAAAACAAGTCGTTTTTAAAACAAACCAAAAAATGACAAAAATTAAAGACAATCTAAAATAGATCTTTGTCAGCAAAATCCTTTTTCATTGATGACTTTGTTATCGAGCATGGTCTTAACAGAAACATGGTCCCCTCCCAATTACAATCTTCTAAGTGAGAGCATAAGACGGGGGCAGTATTACCACAAAGTGATACTTGAGTAAAAGTACAAGTATCTTACCAAAACATTACTTTGGTAAAAGTTAACGTCTCCTTTAGGAATATTACTTGAGTAAAAGTCTTAAAGTATTTGATATTTTTTGTACTTACGTATTAAAATTAGCAGTTAGATTTTCTGTAATGACATTTATTAGGAGGTGACCTCCCTCCAAAAAAAATGCAGAAATGAATATAATGTATTATAATAAATAATTTATGTTAAATTTAGGATGCACTAGTCCAGCTGTTTCAGTTTATATACATATATCAAGGCGGCACAAAGCTTTCCCCAAAAATGAAAATCTATCTGAGGGCTGCAGCCAAATGTAATAATATAATTCATGAAATACAAATACTTCTTAAGTACAGTACTTTTATTTTAATGATTATGTCCTGCTGGACTGTGACATGATTTGTTTGTGTACAAACTAATACAGTATCAGAATTTTATGTATTTATACGGTACTTCTCATTCAACCACAATTAAATTCACTCTATCTAGGAGAAACAATTAATATGGGTAATATTTATTTTTTACAATAACAAGCTGCAATGAAAACAAGCAAAAATGAAATGAATCTAAAGACTTTCTACTTTTTTTAAAAATGTAAAAAGTAGGCTGAGAAATAATTACTCAAGTAAAGTACAGATACCCAAAAATTCTACTTAAATACAGTAAGTATTTGTTCTTAGTTTCTTTACAACTCGGGGGGTTGGGGGGTAGGGGCGGGGGAGACGACCTTGTTTCATTTCATGATTCACTAAAATGTAAAAAAGGTGTTCTTGGACAATTTTGACTCCTTTGAATATATTTCTGTCCAGGTTAAGGACTCTGCTCAGGCCGTGCTTGTGAATGTGTACAGACCTCTGAAACAAAAACTCAAGGATTTTCATGAACTATCTGTGTTATGTATTGATTACAACTCTTTAATCAGTGTGGGGAACTTCAACACCCATGTTGATAACCCCTAAGATGGGCAAAAGAACTATACATGACACACTAAAAGATTTTGGTTTGACTCAACATGTTAAAGAGCCAGCACCACAATGGACACAAACTTTGGACTTCATCAGTAAGAGTCTAAACATTTCCAAGGTCTAACTGATGGCGCTCTATCTGAACAATTTTTCTGTTATTTTTAAAAGCATGATTTCCAGTGACACAGTTAACCAAAGAGATATTACAATTTTCACGCTCCCACTTCCATTTTGTCCTGCAACTCAGTAATTGAGCAACTTCAACTCCAAAATATCAGACATCATTGATTACATTGCTCCCATTAAAATGTATGTTGTCCCTTGAAAGAAAATATTGCTAAGCGTGTTCGTTTACCATTTTATGTGCTTGAATCACACTGAAAATGTACCACTGCACGGAAGTTGAATGTGAAAGAGTTCATACAACCCACACAGAGAGCAGCTCAGTCTGGAGGCAGTTTATTGGTCTGCGTTCAGGCCATGATGATCACATTTAACAGATATTACAGTTCTCTTAATAATAAGACTATACCATGTGTAATGTAGGGTTGTGCATTGGCAAGAATTGGCGATATGATACATATCATAACAGAGGGGTCATGATACGATATATACCGATATATTGCGATACTGTAAGCAAGGCAATATATTGCGATATTGCGATTTTTTGTCCAAAAATTATATTAAATAAAAACCTCTTACTGAAAAAAAAAAGAAAAGCCAATGTTTACTTACAATGCTTACATTGTCTCCTACAATGCTAATGCTACCCTTACTCTCTGGCACTCAAGAGGTAGAGGAGCCAAATGGCTAGCTCACTGCTGCCAACTAGTGGTCAGAGGCTGAATTACAACATAAAAATGAATGGTTGGAAAGAAGGTTGACATTTTAAACCTTAATTAAAAATTGATACAGGGCTTTAGAATATTGATACAGAATCGGGAAATAAAATATCATGATATTTCAGTGTATCTATATTTTCTTACACCCCTAGTGTAGTGTAATTAAGATCAGTATATAATCAAAACCCAATAAATTTCTTCACTCTGGTAAAAAGAAATCTGCATGGAAAAATGCTTGGTAAGATGCGCAAAAAGGGTGTTGGAAAAAAAAATCCACAATTGTAGCGGAACTGTCCAACAAGATACTTGTTTAAGCTTCATTAAGCAGAGCCTTTGGTATCATAAACCTGGGAGACAAAACTTCATCTTAAATTTAAATGGTTTAAACAAGTTCCCACAGCAGATCAAAAATAAATTTTTACTATATTTATATTACATGACATCTTTGTCTGGTGATTTGGTACTTCCTCCTTCTTCAAGTCATGTGTGTATGTATGAAGATGCTCTGCGTGACTTCTATAGTCATTCTGCAGTCTAGAACATGTGGTCACAAGTCTAAACATAACACATCATCATCGTCATATGTTCAGTGATACATGTCTGTAATGCAGACGATTACACACAAACTATCCTGGGCATTTTAAAATAAAGATAATCCATTAACACAACAGCAATGACCTTTCATTATTAATATAAATACTAATCATACAGCATATAGATATTTGTTATTTTTTTATTTTGATCATTCATATTTGTGTCATCATAAAGTGTTTAATCTGATAGTCATGTATTTTGTATAAATAGTGATATTTATGTAAATTTATTGGGAAAAATTTAAAACATTACAATGTTTATTCTGATTGCTCTATTGCAAAACATCATTCATATGTAAATTTACTGATTGTCCAAACAGCATCCTAATGCTAATGCTTTTCAAGCTCATTATAGCACCTGTGTTATAAATGCTCCATGCTTTTAGTTACTCATTACACATGGAGTTGGTCTGCTGAAGCATTTTGTCTGTGGAATAAAGAGGAAACACACTGAGAAAAAAGTAAAAATAAGAATTTAGGTGGCCTTTGTTTACTTACATGCAACAGGAAAAAAAGTGTTGACATACAATAATAACAGGAATCCCTGATAAATTTAAGCGTTGTGTACACCATGATACAGACACTGTTGAAGTCAGATTTTCATTTGTTCTTGTTTTGAACTGTTCAAAAGTAGTCAACCCCATTGTTGTTATTTGTTGTTTGTTAATATAATTGGTTCATTGTTCATAGTAGGCTATTAATGAGATGACAATGTGTGTGACAGGAAACTAATATTTTACGGTGTAGACATTTTAAATTTAGGCTTTACATAGAAAGGCCTGCCAGATTTGAAACGTTCCCTTCTCGCCAAAACCGGAAAGTTCTCAAAACACACTATGATTTACTTTTCTATGTTATATTTTCCAAACGCAGACATTTGCTTTCAAAGGGATACAATTTTGCATTTAGTACATGCTGACATCCTAATTTAAATATAAATGGCTTTGACGGTGACAGAAGCCAGGCTGAGAAACAACTCGGGCTACGTTTTATCGTTTTGTAGCTGCAGTTGTCATTAGCAACATAACTTATGATTTAAAAAAATTGTTGGTTTTAGAGGTTTGGACAAAAGAGAAAAAATCTGACTTTTTTTGTTTGTCTCTCTTGTCTGAGATTAAAGTCAGAACTCTTTTTTTTAAGTGGCCCAAATCCTCTTTTGTAGGTTTGCTAAGTAACAATGCCCTTATGCCGGATTCTTGTTTTCAGTGAACACACACACAGTAATTGTTAGAGCAGCTGAGCCCTGTCACTGCTTCAGCCATGCCCTGTCCATTCACCTCCACACACTCCTGCAAATAAAGAAAAAGTGGTTAGAAACATGCCACAGCTGCGCCAATCATCCTCAGTTTGTTGTTCAGTTTGAATGTTTGCGCCAGGACCAAAACCACAACTGTAATTAACTTTATTTGT